GCCAAGAAATGGCTGCCACTTGATAGCGCTCAGTGACACTTAATGAATGGAACATTAGATAAAAATGGTGGGCCAGTTTCAGTGTCATTGGATTTGGCCTTATTTATGATAGCGAGAACAAAAGTTGCATCTTGACAGAAGAAAAAGATAAGTTGATCTGTAGAAACAGAGGGTCCTAAACATCAAGCATTTGCTACATAGGACTGGTATAAACCTTTGGGGTTGCCAAGACCCCTGTTCTGTTTTATGAGGTGTGTTTTACTGGTGAAGATATATTGTACCGTTAGCACATAAAGGATAAACTAAGACCAAATAAAAACAGAATTTGTAAAACTACAAACTGTTTCCATGAGAAATGAATATAAATTAAATGGACTTCCAAATTCTATGCTGTTGTATTTGTTGTACTGTTTCCTTTGTTCATCTTTAATAACATTATTTAGGTGATTGAACTTTGAAAAATAATTTCTTTTTCTTTGTATTATTGTTATTGTTATGGTTATTTGCTAATTATTAAATGCCTTTGAAGCCCATTTCCTTCAAGGCTAAAAAATCAGTGATTCTTTAGATCTTGATTTTTTTTTTCTTTTTTTTGAGACAGAGTCTCACTCTGTTACCCGGGCTAGAGTGCCGTGGCATCATCATTGCTCACAGCAACCTCAAACTCCTGGGCTCAAGTGATTCTCTTGCCTCAGCCTCCTAAGTAGCTGAGACTGGAGGTGCCAGGTGCCCTGCGTGGCTAATTTTTTCTATTTTTGATAGAGACAGAGTCTCACTCTTGCTCAGGCTGATCTCAAACTCCTGACCTCAAGCAATTCTCCTGCCTCCGCCTCCCGGAATGCTGGGATTATAGGCGTGAGCCACCATGCCCAGCCTGGATCTTAATTCTGGAAGGTGAAGGAAACTACCTTATTGTTGATTTTACTTCCTTCCTTACTGTTAAATTTTCATATTTTTGACTTGCAAAATAAAGATTTTTGAGCAAATCCTTTGTTAGAAGAACATAGTTCTGAGACAATTGCTGCTTCAAAGACAGATCTTGAGAGTGACTCTTCCTTCATCAATAAAGTTTGAAATTTTCTATAGAAACCTTTAAAGCTTAAATGACAGTAATCAAGCAGTCTTTATACTAATGAAATTTAACCATGTTAAGTGCTTTTATGAAACATCATGATTTCTCTAGTTTTCTGTGAATTTGTGTGTGGAAAAGAGTAGGCCTTTATTTCTCTTCACTGCTTCAACTACTTGTAAGAAAATGAGGAAAAGTAATAATATTGATGCTGTTACTTGTGGATGCTTTCCCCTTTGTGTTTACAAGCATGAGTATAGTGAAGAAAATGTGGCTCTTCATGTGGAGGGTTCAAAGTAAGAGAAAGCAAGAGCTAGGAGGAGCTTTCTCACCACTGCACTGAAAGTGTTTTGCAAACTATTATAAAAAGCACCAAATAAGCAACATTACCATTAATAGCTACAGAAATTGTCTTATTTGATTATGAAGAAAAACAGAGTGATCATTTCTCTTAAAAGAAGCCACTTAGCATGCTGTGTTTGTTTGTTACTCTGATTATTTAGAAGGAGCTAATTGATTTCATTAAAGTTCAGCAGTAAAGAATATCATGACATACTTTCAGTGTCTAAAAACCCAGTGACTTAAAAACAATCTTTTTCCAGTGGACAAATCATCTGCATTTAATATGGTCCAGTGCCATAGGTAAAAAAAGAACAAGAATATGATGGTAAATAAAGATGGTAGCTTATACAACCAGTAATTCTATTTATTTGTGTATCTATTCTAAAAAATAGTAATTACAACAATTAACATTTATTGTGGGCCTACTATGTGTCAAGCACTATTTTAAACTCTCTAGCTTTAATCCTGTTAACAGTCATGAGAAGTAGATGCTATTATTAGTCCCCAACTTAGTGTGAAGAAGCCAAGGCCCTGGGAGGGTAAGTGACTTTTCCAAGGTCTCACAGGTAGTAGGGGTCAGAACCTGAATGTTTTGATGGAAATAATGTAATGCTTTGTGTCAACTTTATTCATCATGTTTCACTTCTGATATTTTCTCTGGGGAATTTTCAAATCATCATTGCTGTAGCCTAATTTGGGCAGCCTGAATAACCAGCCAGTGTTCATTTTAACCTAAAACGCCAGTAACACCCACTTAAGGAAAGTGTTCTATAAAACTGGCTGCTATGAGAAATGTGAGACAAACTTGTGTAGAACTGTCTTAGAAACTGATGTTCTGTGGATGCTGTGCTGATGAGGGTGAGGATGATGATGGCAATGATTACCATACTGCTACTACTGAGATAGAACCAAACATTTCATTGTCTTAGGGATTATACCTTTCTTGATGAAAGCAGTAGATTAAGTTGTTTACAATTCAGAACTTAATTTAGTTTTTGTTGGGCCTTAGACTTTTGTTAAACTAAAACTATAATATTCAGAAAGATTTTTTTTTTATTTTTTAAGTGGAATAATTTGTATTGAATGAAAAGCTAGTTGTAATTTCTAAAACCATAACAGAAAAGAAGAGGGAAGGGTTTATTTTCATTATTGACTTTGAAATGTAATCCAGTTTGACATTAATCTATCTGGTAGCTTTAGTTTAACCTAATGTGACAGATAAAATCCTATAATAGTTTTTTTTTTTTAATACAAAATAAACTGCCTTCTGAGCAGGACTAAAACTTAATAACAGCTATTTCCCAGTTACTCAGTAGGGGGTGCTTTATACTCAGTGGGAGCTTAATGGATTATTTAAACCAGGTAAGACAGACTTCCCTGAGTCCATTTTTTCCCCTAAAATGTAACCTAAGAAATAGCTGTTAATATTTACTTTAGGTTTTCTCGAAAGGACAAAATTCATATTTAAGATACCAACCCAAACATAATGATTAAAAACAAATGCTATTCTGAACCAAATGTCCTAACTCATGCTCAGTGAAAACTATTCTGAAATTTTGAAAATAGATTGATATTACCTTTTGTGTTAGTTAGCTTGAAGATTTTTAACTATTTTGATTATGTAAGTTCTATTGTTCCATACATTTTCCTATTTCTAAATACTAGTCATTGGACTATCATGTCTGAAGAGTGAGGTGTTTTCTATGCTGTTGGTAAGTCAGAGAACCATTTTTCTACTTATATGTCTGTAGTTGTAATTTAATTACAATTAAATTCTATATATACTGTTATAAATTGGTAGATTGACTAGCAGAGCAATTGTATATATCTCTAGGCAGGAGGAAAAAAAGCCCCTTTGGTGTTCTCCCTATCCCTGCCTCCTGTTTGAAGACTCTTAGTTCAAGATTAAATTCAAGTCTAAAGTACATTATTAAGTAATATTAATATTTCCACATTTTTATTTATCAAAGACATGTGTACAGGGGACACATCCCAGTAATTTCCATGATGTCATTAAAAGCCAGTCAGGTCTTCTGATCATCATGAAGTAATGATTATCACCATATTGAATTGATTTAATTTCAATAAAGATCAAAGAACCTTGATGTTTTAATGAATATATACAGTCATATCCTAGCTAAATCTGTACCCCTCCCCACTTCTATCTAGGCTATGTAGGTTAAAAAAAAAAGTCTCGCCTCAGAACCTGCTTACTGCTTATTTCTGGCCTCTCTGTTCCTGCCCCAATTATAATTCATTTTTTCCCCACAAATGAACACATCTTTCTGAACTGAAGATTTCTTTTTATTTTCACAATGGAGATAGCATTATAGCATTACATATTACATAGAGCAGAGGATTTTTAAGCCAAGCTGAAACCAGAGACAAAAACCAGAACACATGCCTAATTATACTGTAATAAATTTTCTCTGGTCCAGGTGAACGTATTGTTTAATCCAAGTATCAATATTTGAATATTGGGTAAACTAAAATGCCAAGTACCATGGGGCTAAAGAAGCCAGGCAGTTTGAACACAAATTTCTCATTAAGGTATTTATTAAATTATCCAAAAACAACCTCTGTGATGTCCCCATATTTTTAAAGATAAAATTAAACTATTCAAAGAATATTTTAATAGTAGTTTTTAAGTGTATTCATACTGTTATATAGAGGTCAGTGATGAATTATTCTCCATTTTTGTTGAGAACAGGGAAATTAGGTAAAACTGTTGCAGAAGAGGTTTTCGTTAGGGAAAATT